TAAAAATGATAATTTCTGTATACTCCCTCGTCGAGCTGCATTTTGGTCCAACTTATTTTTTTATAATCAATCACCCCCAATTTATTTTTTATTTTGAAATAATAATTTTTCACATAAAAATTTTCAAGGGAATGCCATTTATCATTGTTGTGAACCGTAGTAGTTGATTGATGGTTGGTATGCATTAGCAATCATTGGCTATCAGTAGGAGTCCCACATGATCAATGATGAATGTTCAAAATCTAAGTGACAATCATCATAAATGCTCTTAAAATTGAAGGAGAAATCATTCAACTAATAAAAAAGAGTGTCATAAATTGGCTGCTAAAAGATAAGATTTTAGTATATACATAATATTTAAATTTTGGTGATGATTTGTCTTCAATTTGGCTTTTCACTTGATAGGATGATTTGCTAGATAATCAAGATGATACTTGTTAGACATCAATGACTAATGAGTGTTTGAAATCATTCTTTCGTAAGATAATGACGAGCGATTTATGTACGTAGTTCATTTAATAACAAAAGACTTCGATCAAAAAAAAAAAGGGAAAAGAAAAGAAAAAAACATAAATAATAAGTTAATTATTCTTGGTTCACTTGAATTTAAATTAACTTAGCAAACTAAGTACAATACAAAAGGAGGAGGAGAAGGCTTACTGGAGAGGAGGCGGGCCGCAACAGTTTGCCAGTGAAAGATGATGCAGAGGTGGACAAATTCTTCTTGTTGCGCTAGAAGTCTCTCAGTCAGAGGCAGTCTGTTGAAAGGAATGTCAAGAGTGCCTATTTATAGACTCTAGAGGCGGTGACAGAAGCATTGGCAAACATCGATCAAGGTTAGAGATCAACGATCAAGACTATTCAGGTAGTTAGAGCTCCTACATATTATCGACAGTGAACCTTCAAGTCAATTTGCTGCCAGATTTGAGAACAAAAGCCATTATAGCTGGTGTGGCTTAGGGGCGTGATCCTACCAGCTTCAGGCGTGACCTTGTTGGGGTACTTCCGTGCATGACTACACCCGAATCGGGAGTGATTACGTCTGGGTAATTTCGAGTGTGGTGATTCCCGAATCAGCATGACCATGCCCAACTAATTTTTACCGAGACTACGCCCGAGTTGTGAAATGAATGTCATGAGTGTCTATTTATAGACTCTAGAGGGGGTGACAGAGTATTGGCAAACATCGATCAAGGTTAGAGATCAACGATCAAGACTATTCAGGCAGTTGGAGCTCCTACAGATTATCGACAGTGAACCTTCAAGTCAATTTGCTGCCAGATTTGAGAATAAAAGCCATTATAGCTGGCGTGGCTTAGGGGCGTGATCCCACCAGCTTCAGGCGTGACCTTGTTGGGGTACTTTCGTGCATGACTACACTCGAATCGGGTGTGATTACGCCTGAGTAATTTCGAGTGTGGTGATGCCCGAATCAGCATGACCATGCCCAACTAATTTTTACCGAGACTACGCCCGAGTTGGTGTAGACACACCAACTCAATGACATATGGAAATGTCGGTGTGTGCGCGCGTAGGCGCCAACTTGTCTGTGTAGATGTGTGCACGCGAACCCAATCGTGAAAGTAACCGACCCTAAGGAAAAATTTTGAAAGCAGGATCTTGGCTACTCCACTTTCAAGACGAGCCAGTCAACTTCAAAACGTAGGTCCTAGCCTATGAAGACCGAGCTCAAAAGAACCATCTGTCGGTGTAGACACACCAACTCAATGACATATGGAAATGTCAGTGTGTGCGCGCGTAGGCGCCAACTTGTCTGTGTAGATGTGTGCACGCGAACCCAATCGTGAAAGTAACCGACCCTAAGGAAAAAATTTGAAGGCAGGATCTTGGCTACTCCACTTTCAAGGCGATCCAGTCAACTTCAAAACGTAGGTCCTAGTCTATGAAGACTGAGCTCAAAAGAACCATCGAGTGGTCATTTTCGGCTCAATGTGAGCAGGTTTCAGGTTCACATCGAATGTGAGCTGCTTTTGATATTGACCAAAAGTTAGATCAACATGTGATAATGATTAAAAGGAGACAATCAGGCCATGATGATAAGGATGTGCGATAACAATAAGAAAATGCTAGTTGGGGACAACAACCATAAAATGTTGGTTTTTGGCACTGAACTTTGGAAGGAGCTATAGAGTTCTTTAGATATTTTTTGTTCACTTTCACTTTAAATCTTAATCTTTTTCAAATGGAGAATATAACTCTATGTAAATTATTTGAAAGTGATATTCTATTATTTTTGTCGAAGTCTTATAGTATTCCAATGGATAACCTTGATTATTTATTTTGATTGTAGATTATTCATTTAGTATTTAAGCACATTAAAGACAATAAAAATAAGTGAAGAAGATTTATTAAATTTCACTCATTGAGATATTCAATTTGGCAATAAACATGCAAGATTCAAGTGTATGATGTGGAGTTTGATTTTCTTGAACAATTCATTGCTCAAAGCTCTGAGTTTCATCGATTAAGCTTGACAGTGAGTTTGTTAAAGGTGTTGGGGGAGGAGCGAGCATGAGGGGCAGATGAACCCCTATATTGGGTTAAGGGGCTCTGCCCCTCGAAATTTTTTTTCTGTATTAGGCGTTGTAGCTCTCAGATGTAGCTTGAGCGCTCGATGCTACAGTGAACCTAAGCAAATATATAGGTACAAGAATAGAACGCTCCACATTCAAGCACCCGAAGGTTAGCATCCCAACGTTAGGAGGGGGCACCACATCACCCAATCGTGGCACCCTACAGTAACTGCTTTCGTGTTGTTCGAGGTTTAAAATTACATCTTTGTTGTGGGATCCGTGTGTGAATACGCATTGAATTTGGAAGTTCTTCTATGTAAGGAAGAAGAAAAGAAGTGTTCTTGAGTTCAAAAGTGAATAACAGCTTTAGTGTGGGGGAGGGAGCAATGAACCTCTGTACCCCAATTTTTTTTTTCTATATCGGGAACCTTGGAACTCCAACACTCGATGCTTCAGTGCCAAAAGAGGGTGCCATAGAACCCAACCCAAGTCCATAAGTACAGGTCCAAGAATAGAGCGCTTAACACCCCTACGCTTGAAGGTTAGTGCCCCAATGCTAGGAGAAGGCACCACAATAGGGTTGTAAACGAGTCGAGCTTGAGCAAGCTCAGGCTTGGCTCGTGTTCGGCTCAATTTAAATATTCGGATCATGTTCGGCTCGAAATTGACTCGTTAAAATTAAACTGAAAAATAAATGTAAAGTGCTAGATTCGAACCTGGACCAAATGAATGCAAAAGAAGATGCACAACCACCTTACCAAACGAGCAGTTACGTTTTAAACTTAGATATAAATATATATAATCTATTATTATATAAATAATATATGTAATCTATTATTATATAAATAATTATATATTTTGTTATTTCGAGCTAAAACGAGCCGAACACGAGCGAACAAATAGTTATTCATGTTCGGCTTGTTTATAATTCGAGCTTTAAAAACTTATTCGTGTTTGGCTCGTTTACTTAACGAAGGAGCCGAACACGAGCTGTTCGCGAACAACGAGCTTTTTTGACAGACCTACACCACAACACCCAATCGTGGCACCCCATCGCCAGTAACCACATATGGACTTAAAATTACCTCATCACTGTGGGGATATGAGTGCAAAGACGTGTTGAATTTCAAAGTATTCTTGAGTTTCAAACTGTATAGATACTTGAGTGCGATATTATTTGTACAATTCTTATCATTATTCATAGTGGACTTATTGATGTAGTTTGGTTCAATGATTTTTCATGTTCTCGGATTTTCCACATAATGTTTTGGTGTTATTTGTACTTTATGTGATTTATTGATTTGTACGCTTTTGTTCAAAGTGTTGCTTCGGATCTCTCAAATTGATTTTTACAGATCTCTTCCCCAACATCAATATCGTTTGATCTTTCAATAATATATTCACATTTCTAATCTCACTGCAATTATTTAATTTATGTTTATTTTGGCTTGAATCTAAACATCTTTGGTGTCTTTGATGCATCTTGTTAAATGCTCGCGATTATAAATCTATTAAAATCGAAGCATACATGACTCGAAATTTAATTCTGAAATTTTTCAATCTAAAATGTTGCATTGAGATCCGTGCTTGATCAAATAAATTTTGTAATGACATTAGAATTAAAGCATAATTCATCACATGATAGTATAAAGTAGTAGCTTAAAGTTGAAAAAGTAGCCTTTTACATAACTAAAAAAATAAGTATCATAAATAGTCACTGAAAAATAGAGCAGCATAAAACATAAAATCAGGGTTAGAGTATTTTAAAATAATAATAAAAAAAAGGCAATTTCAGTTACTTATGTAAAATACACTTAAAATTAAATTACAATTCATGATACATTAATCATTTATATTTTCTATATTAATTTTCTTATTTCCATTTGATTATCCAGGTAAATGATATAACCTACACCTTTTAAACATGAATAGAGTAAGTACATATGTCCCGCACGCTTCTCCAATCATAATCA